GAGTGGCGTAAACAGAGAGGTGGCCAACCCTTGACTTGGCAGAGGAGTATGAAGGAGCTCACGAAGCGCTTGGGTGGTGTCGGTGCTACTTGCCTTCCAGGGTGGGGACCACGTGATCCTCAGTGTGCCTGGTTGGAGACACTACAAGATATGGCTGCCAACCGATGTCAGTGGCGTTCTTGTTGTCAGTTTCTATCCAGATCGTTTGAGTGAATGTCTGGAGGTGTAGGCACCTCGGAATGATTGTTGTAAGCTAGTACTTAGTCCCTCCCTCGTCCACCTTTACTCTTTTCTTTACAATAAGGCCTTCAAATAAGTCATGGTTGTACGGCAGTGAAACATCGGTGTTGAACACTGGTGTCATGCTGTGGATGATGATGATGATGTATTCGTTATTCTACGGCTGATTCGACGCACCTTCGACCTTATTATTCGCATGGACTTGCAGATATTGTATGGGGTTTACGTCAGGTCGCTTCTTGACTATGTCGTCTAAGCTATCTGCTCAAGAAACCATAAGAACCCTAACCTTTTTGAGTGTGTCCAAGGAGCTGCCAAGAGCGTAGTTGCTGGCCTCAAGCGCGCCTCGATGTGCTTAAAGTCTTTCCCCTGGAGTATCGTCGCCTCTTAGGATGCCTAGTACTGAATTGTGCCATGTTTGAACAAGGTTTGGCCAAGAGGGTTTTAACCGTTGACCCTTATGATACACGGCGAAAACATTGTAGGGAGATTTTCAAGTTCAGAGTGCACGTTTGTGCTAGACAATTTTTTTCATTTCGGATAGTTAGAGCGTGGAATAATCTTCCTCCGACGGTTGTTCACGCTGCATGGAGTACCCAGTTCAAGGCACTTTCAGACACCCTTTTATGTGGCAAGCTTACTTCTCGGCGCTGAGAATGCTGCCACACCATTTGCTTGTGTCTTTCGGGTGAACGGAAGCCAGTAAACGACAAGAACAGTTCTATAAGCTTGGGCGAAAGCCTCGATCCTATGTATTGATCTGTGGACTTGTTCAGCGCTAGCACCCCTTCGGTACCTAACTGCCATGCCGCCCGAAGGCTGCACGAGGGCCGGGATACTGCCAGGTTGCCCAAGCCTAGACAGGGGAAGTCGAGAGGTAGAGGTCGGGTTCGAACCACGGACTTTCCGGTCAGTAAGTTTGCGCTATAACCACTTGGCCATCTCACCTCTGTGGACATGTAACAATACCCATTTCTAAACAATTGATCATGGTTCATAGTACGAGTTGCTTGATCGCCTGCGACGTCGTTAAGCCAAAGCTTGTACTTCGTACCTAAGTTCGGTACTATATGGCGACATATAGGCGTCTCCACGCTATGGGAAGAGCATAACATGGTTCACTTCTGATCCCGACAGTCTTATATCCGGCCTTCCACATGTGGCACCACTTTTCTATGTTTTATATTCTGGCTTCTAAGTTCCTTTCTTTGAAGGTAACAGTGAAGCCTGAAGAAGAGTAGGAAGCACAATCACTATTAGAAAGCTAACCAAGGTCATCCAGTTTTTCAGCATGTGCTTCGGGCCATGAAGTGCAAAGTGGTGCATCCGGGGATGCTGCCGGATGTGCATTCTTTGACATACCTCTGTGAATTCAAAGAGTGAATGGAGGTTGTGGAACACTATATGTTTTTGGGGAGTTGTATGAGTACTGATGGTAGTGTGACAGACTAAGCTAATTCACAAACCTCGGAGGCCAGAACCGATCTGGCTAATTTACTTCACCTGTGGCATCAAAAAGGCACTTCATTTGGTCATAGAGGAGGCTATATCAGATCACAGTGCGGTCTGTATTGTTTTACGGCTATGAGACTTGGCCAGTTTGGATGGGGTATCTGAAGCATCGGGTCACTAACTGAACCGGGATGGCTCATTGGGAGGGGTTAGTCACAACCCTTGCAGTTACTGGCAGTGCTTCTCTTTACCATATGAAATTCCAGTTGTCTGACATCAAGCAACTCACGAAAATAGTCATTACGGCACTTTCACTGACAGTCGATGTCTTGCCCTCTGTGATGCCTTGCAGCTATGCCCCGAAAATGTGTTATAAATTTTCAGGCTGGGCCACCAAAGCCTGGTGAAGGCCATCTTGACGACCGATTCGGGTTTTACACTCAACGCAGAGGTAGTGAAAATTGACTTCAATCATGTGCTGAACTTCATTTGTTTCTAGCCAGAACAATCTTTCGACACAAGTGCTCACACAGTGTGACATGTAGTCATTCGTGTTTCACCGTCAGCCCCTAACTCGAATACGACGTGGATACAGTACAGTTCATGGCTCATTCAAACAGTCTTTTGTTTCTTCGTTTTAGCCTATTAATAAATTGGATTCCATTTTTCACACAAAAATATGCCAATTCGAGTACCAAGGCACATCGCTCGTTTCCTTGCTGAGCGTATCAAAGCCCGACGCAAGCTTTTGGAATCGGCTTTATTAGAGCTCCATGACATAGATAACAGGCTGAAAATGGAGTTCCTCTCGCTCACTTCACTGGTGGATGCAGATATTGATGGCTTGGATGTGGATGAGAACGAATCGGACCTATTCGCTCCGTTAATGGTAAGTGTCTCTTGAACTGCATTCAGTGAGGATACGCGCGGCAATTGTTTCACGTACCCCAGGTATATACTTCCAATTCCTTCAGTTTTCTTTGTTGGACATTCCCCTTCTTTAGTGATCCATATTTATATCTTTAGACTGCTTGCCAGTCCGATTTCCTCCACTCAAACTTTCAGGAAACTGGTCTGATTAAACGATCATCTGCCTGGGATCGGATAGGTTTGTATGCTAATGAATGGCTCATTAGGGCTAATAATTGACCCCACTGGTTCATCAACATAGTCATTATAGATAGCATAGCATCAGTGTTTAACACCGGCGCTTTGCTGCTGTACCCATTGGCTACCCACCGACTCAATAGCTAAAAACATTTCAGCGCTTTTGGATCGGTTTTCGTTGACACGTCGGACACGTCTGTCAGGTTACTGATGTTTGTTGTTTGTGAAACTATTATAGTTAGCGCTTGTAAATCAGACCAGCCGGGAGAGTTTTCAGGTGATCCATATCCAGTGGACTATACTCAGTACAGGCCCTATACATCACTCAGAACCTCATCATTGACATTTTCACATAAACTTCACCATCAATTTCGCTACCCACTTACAAGTGAAGGCTGTATCTGGGTAACTCCAGGTCAACGTTTGGTTTACACACTTGCTTCGAACAATTAGCTTTGGGATGTGTCTGGCATTTCTGCATACTTATCAGAAATCGCTTTGCGAATAGAGCAAGAAAGGATCACGATTGGGCTGTGCTCATGTGTAGTACTAATAGAATACATGGTATGTCAGCCTCATGCTCCATGAGGGTTGCATTTGTGCGGTCGGTGGATGGCGAGATTCAAGGATTGCCAATACATGTAACTCTTCGGCTTTGAAACTCTAAGCATTGCTTAACCGTGGTAAAGATGCTTGGTTGCTCTGTTCCGGGTGTTCACTTTCGTTGTTGGTCTATCCTCATCAGAGGCACATTCTCAACTCTGTGGAGAGTTTTACGTACCTTGGAGATTGTGTTCGTTCTGATTGTGGTGTGACAGATGAAATGCACGAATCTGCAAGACTCGGGTCGCGTTTGCTAATTTGAGGCATTTATAGCGTCAAAGTGGTATATTCCCGAATGTCAACGGACGTTTGTGTCAGGCTACAGTGCGGGCTGTATTGGGAATGGTTTTTCGGGTAGTTTTTTCAGGTGTTCGACAATCGTTGTCTCAGGACCCTAGCTCGTGCAGGTTTGTGTCGGTGAATCCCTAGCGAGGGGACCAGAAAGCGACTGTACAATGTGTTTAGCACCAGAAGCTGCGTTTGTTAGGCAATGCGTTGCATGTGCAGAACTATCGTTTGCCTAAGAGAGTGCTTAATTCGCGCTTCATTCAGAGTGGCGTGGCCAATCCTTGACCTGTCAGAGGGGTATAAAATAAATAACGAAACTCGCCTTCCAGGATAGGGACCACGTGATCCTCACTGCGCCTGGTTGGAGACGCTGGAAGATATGGCTACCAGCTGATGTCATTGGCGCTGTTGTTGTCAGTTTCTATCCAGATTGCCTGAATAAGTGTCTGGGGGTGTAGACACATCGGACTGATTGTAGTAAAGTAGCTCTAACTCCCTTCCCTATTCATCGTTATTCTTTTCTTCACCATAAAGCTTTTAAATAAATCATGGTTGTACGGCTACGGAGTATCGGTGTTGAACACTAATTTCATTATGTCCATGATGGTGATGATGATGATGATGAATACCCTTTATATCGTTTTTCAATAGCCCCCAGACGACGCTTTGCAATCAACTTTCGGAAAGACCACAGCTGATTTCGGGCCTTACGAATTGATCGACTTGGATCAAGAGCTAGGTTTCGATCAATCAGCAAGTGATATTGATTCCGACTTATTTATCGAACGGATTGAGGAGCCCCCAGACTTAAATTTTTCAGCCGCAGAGGCCTGCTCAACAAACTTGAGTTCCCCACCTTCTGACACAACTGCTTATTTTGGTCGTATATTTCAAGAAAACTCACCGATTGGTATTTCTTCGGAGACTGACCTTCCAGTTCCCGATACCAAAAGGCGCACGTCTAGAAAACGTCCACAGGCGGCTAATTCTGAAGGCACCGTCCATGAAGCTGAGGCTGTCTCACATGTAAAAAAGCGTACTAAGCTCTCTTGACCTAGTTATCTGTAGATATATTTATTTTGTACATATATTTTGCGCTTGAACAAATAAACTTTAATCTTGAAACGTTGTTTGTCTTTTTTGCTGGTCTTCGTTTATTTCCAAAGGTGTGTGGAAGGCTCAAAACAGGTGTCTGTTCTTCCGTTTGGGCCTATCGGGTGTGGTTGAATTTTAGTTCACAAAATGACGTTTAGAAGTTTATAGTGTGTGGATTCAGCAGTCATCTGCAAACCACTTCACATGCTGCCCCGAAACTGGACCTTCACTGTTCAGCAAGAGGAGAGCCTGATTAAAATGTTATTCCCACTTCCAGGGCTGTTTCGTTCACCCAAGTCACTGCAGGTCTTGTGCAGACTGTTTGATGAAGTGTTCCACTGTTGAAGACACCACAATAATCGTTTTATACTTATTACGGGGTGCTGATTAAATTACACACATCAGGTTCTAATTGTTGCCGTTGTTAAAGATGATCTTTAGCTCGTATATGTTACTATCACTTAGTATGACTTAGTTGATGAACTATGCGTGAATGTATGTAAGCTGATAGCTGAACGCTTCCGCAGCTACGGCTGAATCAGTCTGATCACACTTTGATGCAATTGTACGAAACGGTGCATCAGGACTTCGCATATAATGATAACGGCAATCGATTAGTTATTGTCAAATGGTTGGTTTACTTCGGATGCATTTTTGAACGATGCTTAAGCAATTACCATTGCTTTCATGAAACTAAGTTACCCAATCAGTTCGGTACGCTATAAAAATGGCCAATTTTGCGACACCCTGGTTGCGCCTGGTTTCAAACATTACATGATATATAATGTGAAGGTAAACATAGTTTTGGTGGAACCAGGCCATCGGTATTCACGGAAGATATTTCCATTTCGAGAGCAATAAGACGGGAGAGAAAGGGACTTGGCGAAAGTGTGAGGCCAATACTGTGGATTCAGTTCGCTAGGTACTCGTACAAACTGAGCTTACAAAAGACCAGAACTTTCAGACTCACTGAAAAAGCATGCCACAGAGGTTCTTTCCTCGTTCAAAGAAGTCCACGAAGAACCAGATGTGTTGCAAATCGCCAGTCGTTGGCAGAAAACCATGAAGGAATTTTAGGAGACAAGTGAACCGAAGGCCATAGTTGGTTTATCTATTGTTTTACTAGCACCTTCGGGAATTATTGATCACAGACATTCGCGAGCAATCTCTTCGCATTTCTTTCCTGTTGGTCAGCGTTAGAGTCCAACACGTGTGAGGTGAATAACATTGTGGTAGCCAAGTGCTGCCGTAAGAACTGCAATAAAACTGAAGGGAATAGCGAATGACCCACTAATGGCGAAGACCCTCTTCAGTATTAGACAAAGAATATATGGCTGCATGTACTCGGTGAGCTCGGAGAATTCTTCAGTTGTAAGTCATGAAGAGTGAAGTGGTTGTTGTTACCGTGCCGTCGCCCATGACAGCCTGATGGGGATATGTAATCGAAGTACATGTGCTTTGTGATGAAGAGACCAACGCTGCCACTTCATATTTGCTGCTATATACGGACCTGTGGTAAACCAGTCACTAAGCGATCCTGAGAAACAAATCAGAGGAAGCTTTTCAGGGTAAGCTGAGTGGGCAGATTTTATGTGGACAGTCGTGTGTTCTGCTCCCAACCTTTGTTGACGAAAAGCTTCCAGACGATAGACCAAGCGTGACGGGATAAAATGAAAGCGACCGCTATTAAGCTGAGCGCTGTGGAATTTCCATGCATTCTCGAGTGAACTTAATGCGGTTCTTCTTGCTGGTGTTTGAAAATCTTTCAGTACGTCATTGTGCAACTGAATTAGTCAGGCACAGAAGATTCACTTCTCTTATCGAATGCTTCTGAAGATCAAAGACGAAAGCGATTGGATTAAAGGCATGTAAATGTTGTTCTGTAGGGAATGCCTTTGAAAGGACATGGAGATCTTATCCACTCCACATCTGAAATTTATGCAGAGCTGTCCTCCAAACATGGCGTCGTTTTTTCCCTAAGCGAAATGCTTCGAAGACGCAGTTCAATGTACCTCAAACGCCTTAGTTGAATCATGGAAGACTAATATTCCTTCGGGTTCGTGAGCGTGTGAAAGGACCGTTTGCAGCCCCTTCTGCATAATTTCTTGATTTAACTGAACTTCATGATGTGTGACTTCATAAGTTGGAAGTGAAAATAGAATCTCCCATCATTTGAATTTGAAAATTAAATTCAGGTTATTAATGTGATGGGTGATTGTGGGAGGCTTCTATGCTAACCTGATACTGACACCATATTTTGATGACCTTGAGAGCAAGACCTTGTCTGTAAGAGAGTGGAACCATTCATCTCTAGCTAACGATCACGGGAACAACTGCCGTTGTATCACAATGTACCCATTAGATGTGGATCAAAAAATGATCCAGCTCATTTTCTGAGTCATCAGCAACCGCCGGCTTCCTCTTGAAAAACGGGTTAGACGTTTACATCGGAGAATTGCATAGACGGATCACTATGTTATCGCCATGTTATCACAGTCGGGTCCCTTTGGCAATGTCATAACATGAACACTTTTATCCTAGGCTCGTGTGATTGGCGGCGTACAGTAGTGCGTGTTTGTGGAATCGGATCCCTCCGTTTATTCTAGCTGCATAGTCAGCTTGAACTACACGCTGTTGAAAAACGCAGCCGGAAAGTCATTGGTATATATATATATCGGTGGATATTGCCAGGTTGCCCAAGCCCAGACAGGGGAGGTCGGTTTAGAACCGCAGACCTTCCGGTTAGTAAATTCGCGCTCTTACTACTGAGCCATCACGCTTTCAGGTAATTTCTGTCGGAATCGATGACTGGTACACAAAGAGCCATCCACCATTGAAAATACATGCGTGTGGCTGGAAAATATAAAAGCTGCATATCGTATCTATTTTCTCTAGGTCACCACGCCAGCTTACATATGCAGACCAGTGCAGTGAGGCCTATGCGTCTTTCGGCTTCCTTCGATATTTCACTTTTCACCTACGGTCCTCTCCACACCAAAGCACACCCTTCACATGTTCTAAATGCCCTCTACATATAGTAGTCATTTCGTAATTATGTACCTTAGTGATGTGGTGTGAAGCAAAACGTATCAAGTACCATGGAACGGGAGGTCTTGTATTACTCGGTTCTTCGTGCTCAGGCGGACCAATCGAAGTTGAGCCAACTAGATATATTTCCACCATGGATGATAGGCCACGCGTCTCTTATCGAACGGGTGTCCACGAAAGCCCTGAGACTTTGGGAATATAATTCTCGAACTGATGGATATCGAGCAATGTTACTGAAGCTTTATTGGCTTTGTCCGATAAAAGAGCCAGCCAAGTTATTCACGTGTCCAAACTCAGTTCGGTGGTCAGCCCGTGTGGTTTTGACATTTGACAATATGGACGGACACTTGGCTTTTATGACCTCACACTGAAAAGTCCAGCTAGGTTGTACAATAAGAACATAAAGATTCTTCTTATTTGTTTCCGAAATACCACGAGTGGGGCTGGAAGTCAACGTGAACGCACCCATGTTGGGCATGAAAATAAGTCGAAATGGTTGTCCACGAGCTTATCCGCTCGGCCGTCCGAGCCAATAGCGGAGTTAGAACGATTGAAGCATGTGATGGGCATGCGTTGGTGCCTTAGGAGGTCCGTCGTTCGGAAGTAACTTGTCTGGCCGGAAAAGGTTAAACTAATCGATACAGGATAGCTGAAGAGGTTCATTTTCAAATCACATGCAGCCTGCCGGTTTCTTCATACAAATAATGGGCGGTTTATTGACTCATTTTTGCAAACAGTATGCTTGTACTCTCAATTCTGCCTTTTGCATGTATTCCTGTGCTAGCATGATATCTTGCAGGTAGTGTATGCAAATCCAAAGACTTAGGAATGTACCGCAGAACAAATGTCAAAAGTTGCTGAGCAATGCTTCACCCGTATGATGCCAAGTATAACTCTATCGATCAGGGTGGATATTAGTAGACACGTTCGTAGACCATCTGTGGCTCTAAAATGCGTTTCCTATCGGGCTGCATACCAATACACCTCAAAAGAGACTAAAGAAGGGGGATATTGGGGCTATTCGGGACATCCCAGACCAGCTCATGACTGACTGATAGTGCTGATGAGTACTTTCCAGAGGAGCGACATGCCCACTAGCGTCTGTGTCGAAGCAAGACAAACGGGAAAACACACCATTGTGCCCGTACTTCTTGATCTATTCATCTGTGTCTGTTACACAACACGTTCATTGGCTGGTAATTTGAGATCTTTCCACTGTTGTGGTGTTTTCATCTCTTGTGAGTATTCCTCTAAGCATCTTTTCTATCATTTATATGAAGGGATTACAGGGGATCAGAAATCCCCTACTGGATGTTTTTCATTACTTTTTCAGGTAATCCTTTCTTGTTACTTCGCTATGCCCAAACTGAAGACTGCCTCTACGTCAGTGAACCAGAACACAGAGCCCATTTTATCGGTACGTCTTCCCCTAACATAAGCGGGCGTCGATGTCAGAGTTTTTACTGGTTCCATTTCACCAGTTTTGTTGTCAATCACAAAGTTGAATCAAACCAGTGGGTGGGTCGAGGCAGTGGTACTTGGTTTTCAATACAGGGCTTTCAGGACAGTCTAATCCACTGGTGTAAATAAATATTTTGTAACAAGTCGGCGACGCTGCGCTACTTCAGCAGTAGAGGTTCGACTCATTTGCTAGGGTGCACACACTTTTGTATCGGTTTCCGAATATGAATGAACTATGACCTCCTCCATATAAAGGAAAGGAGGTTACTTCAGGAAGGCGCGGCTTGCATGACGGTGAACACAGCCCTCAATGTGAGAATTTCGCATTGTTTCGGGATTGAACGGCAACAATATGTCAGGAGCAGACCACAGATTATTACATTGGACCGCACCAGGGTCATCGTCTTCATGTTCGTTGAGTTACTACTGAACACCGGCGTATTATCGTGGAATATATCATTAAACCGTACCAGATGTTCTCTGACTGAATTTTTGTCTAAATCTTTATGAGGATCACTGACATATCGCTAAGCCTATTTAAAGGGATGCATCTGTCTTATTGTCGACGTCGACGGTGGCGGTGGCGACTAGTCCACAGGAGGTATTACGAGGTATATACTCCCCAGTATTTCACTCACCCGTTTGAAATAGAACAGTGGCTTCACACACCGTGATGCATTAGTTTGCGGCCGCTACCAAAAGTATATTTATGCAATCTATGGATCGTACGAATAGAACGCACACTAGCTGTAGACCAGGCGGCTGTTGGTCTATTCGGCGAACTTGGCAGGCGTTTCGTCATAACTTGTGAGGTGTGCAAGGTAGGTGGCCACTTTGTCTTTACCTGCTTGAGTTCGTACAGTTCGTACAAAAGAGTGGTTCAAATCCGTTGTATGATTGGCTGGTTGAATGATTGAATTGGTCCATTCGCAATTTGTGGTGCGTTTATTGACCCGGACACCTCGTATTTGCTTGGTTCTTGAAAAGCCTGCTTCTTGCAGATTCCATCGCAGTTCTGATTGCTCCGCTTTCTGGCCTGCTCTTATATTTTAGCAGTTTTTCTCCGCTTTCTTTGACACCTTCATAACTTGTGTCACGTTGTGGTCTGATTTCCTCGAGCTCCATTGAATGGTTTCGATCCCCGTCTTTTCTTTACAGTGACGGATCGCTGGGTTTGGTTGGTTAATCAAATGTCTTTTTGTGTTCATTTCTGTCGTTTGCTTTCTTGGTCAGAGTCTTATTCCGGTCTAACAGATTTAGCTGCTGAGTGCGGGCAGCAGAAAACTGGAAAGCTCGAATCGAACCTATAGATCGATTTGAATGGAACATGCCAGTGAGTCAAATGACTGAAATGAACACAAAAAGACATCTGGTTAACGGGCCAAACGCAGAGATCAATCGCTAGGAAGAAGTAAACGGAGGTTCTCAACTAGCCGACCAAGCCAAAGGAACTTAATAATCCAACACAACGCGATAAGCTGTTTTTCAGTCATTTTCATACACTATATAAATTCAAGCAGATGAGAAGAAAGTACACGCACTGAAGATTAGTGACGAAATGTCTGCAACCAAGTCACCGTAATCGGCGTGCAGATCAACATTCAATTAGCGCATCCGAACTGACATTATTTTCAAATGATGTCAGGACCAAGTTTCTTTAAATTACACCTAACCCATATAATCGTCGTCAGCTGAATGAGCTGCAAGTGCAACTGTTGTTTTCCGGTTGCTCACGCCGATAAACAAGGTCAGTTAGACCCACAAGCTAGCGAGATGAGATTGGTTTATTCGGGACTCCTTTCTGTAACCTGATATGTTCTATTCACTGGTAAATGTGGAATAACTAGATAAAGATTTTTTGAGCTTTTGATGGCATTAGTACGACCGAGTTGTGAAAATCAAGGTCCGCAAATCATGCCTCCATGAATACATGCTCTCTTTGAACAGCCTCACCTCGAAAAAATACTTGTGACTCTTACTGTCTATACTTCAAACAACCGTAATTAGACTACCGTTCTTCACCATTACTAGCATGTGTGCTGGAATATATCCTTGATCCGGTTATGTTGTCGATCAATCTTTCTAGCGTTCTACGGTGTTTGGTTTTTTCCCATCCGTCAATATGTTGTGCTTTCGTGGCTGAGATCTAATTTTAGACGGTACAGATCCGCTTCTGACCGGGAAGCTCCGCACATCTGCTCCAACTAGGGTTTCTCGGTTGCTATCGTTTCACTTCCATACTTATTTCGTATTATGTTAGTAGCTCTACGTGACCACACATCGGTTCATCAAGAGTTGAATAGGATCCATGACCATTACCTCTCGAAGGGGTTTGCATTGGGTGGTGGTTGCTTCCTTGTTCTCATTGAATTCACATTTAATATCGTTTGAACAATCGTCCTTGTGTTCGGACAACATGGTTCTGCTCAGTTTATACCCGATTGAGGAAGCACAGGGCTCGAGTGTTGCTCTAGTTTGATCTCCGTACCTCTGACCTGCAGAACACATTCGGCAACACAATTTGGCTCACCCTAAGCATCATCCCCAGACATTTGTGCGTTTGGGTGATGTGGTTGGTTGATCCGGCACGTGAAACGAAGACCTGATAGCTGTGTTATGTTGATCTGCCAGTTAGGACTATTCGTCCATATAGCCCTACAGACGTGTGAAACAGTGATTTCCATCTAGCTTGCTGTTAATTATTTACACGAGGTGCCGTATTTTACTAGCTTGTGTAAATTTTCCCTCCTCCAGCCTCCAGCATTTAGTTCGACACCACAGAACAGCCAGTCAGCCCAGTTATTCACACCGGATGATTTACGACGCCGGAGAGCGTTGAACACAACTCCAGATTCTTCCTTATCTTCCGTCCCTTCCGGCCGTACTCGCACTAAATCGGCCACTTATGGAAGTGGCGATCAGTCCAGTCACGTCTCTCCTCCTTGGACTCGGCGGCAATGGAATCACGTGTACACTCGGTTGGAAAGTAACCGGTCGGATAATTCAGACACAGATTTCCCCACTGATGACGATCTACCCTTCAACAAACTTGGATCCTCGTTGACCCCACAAACCCAATGGTCGCGCGTTTTTCATTTCGTTCTTATCATCCTTCTCCCATTAATCTGTAGCAGTAAGTAAGGTCGTTTTATTGAAATTCCCCCGATTGTTGAACACTTGTGTGTATGAAGGGGTTTTCATCGATTAATCTTGTCACTTTTCCGCAATCCAGTCCCATTTCTGGGCTTGTACCGAACCGCACCCGAGCTGTCCTCCACCGTGATTCCTCTTCATTCACTAACGGATCAGCTTTCTCTGGAATTTCCAAATCAAACCAAACGATTTTGGGCGCAGCTCCGAGCAGCCCTAGAACAACAGCATCGGTTCTCATGGTCGTGAGTGTAATTTACTGTCGCATTTTGTTGTGTATATGTATAAGCCATCGGAACAGTTCCACAACCGAACGATTTGACTTGAAACTGTGCATGTTTTTTCGGAAGATGACTCGTTCTCCCCGATATTTTAAAAAATAACTGCTGCTTGTACGGGTCCTCGAAACAAGACAATTCCCAGGTAATTTCAAGCCACTGGCTGAGATGCTGTAGGATTGTGAGGTGAGACGTATTTGTTTGCCATTTACTTGCTATCGTCCAAAATGGTAGTTTATAAGAGCTATCTTGTCACCTCTGCCGCACTGTTGTGGAACATCGTTCATCTCAACGAAGCATTGGTCTTCGCTGCTCGCTGTCACAACCTGTAACCTCCTCACTTTTACATCTTCCCGTATTTTGCTCACCAGTTCGGTCATCTCTGATGCGAATGCGTTGATGATGCCGGCAATAATCCTATTTGTCAACCGGGCGGCAGCCTCGTCGTTAGATACCAACCCTGAAGCGAACGATTTATTTCATCGTTTTATTACACGTTTTGGAATCGGTGCCAGTTCGATTGCTTTACGCCAGAAACATCCTTCGTGTCCAAGGGTAGACCCGATGGAAACAGAGGACGACAGTCCATTTGCATCAGCCAAGGTAAAAAGTTCGGTGAGTAGTTTGCCCTGCATCTTCACTTCTCGGTATCACTTAGTAATTCTAATCAACTCGGTGAAAAACTTTTTGTTTTTACCAGCTGTTGGTGTAACCGAACAATCATCAAACAACCCAGTGGCAGTACGCTTCTCACGAAACTCCAGAAAGTTTCTAAGGTGGGACCTCACAGCTAGTTGTTCGAATACAACCGCTTGGCTTCGGACAGGTGATCCTAAGACGAGTGGAACTTCTAGCCTAGAAGGGAGCCATTCATCCCGCGACCGCGTGATGTCATTTCCGTGATCGAAGAATAGGTCACGCTGTATCCTGTCCGTGTGCGAGTAAATCACACTAAAATGGAATTTCTTAGATGTCGTTCAGCTGTAATACCCTTTCGGTGCAGCTGCCATGCCACCCCAAGGAAGCGCGAGGGCTTAGATACTGCCAGGTTACCAAGCATAGTTAGGAGGATCGGTGCAGCGCCATGCCACCCCAAGGAAGCGCGAGGGCTTAGATACTGCCAGGTTACCAAGCATAGTTAGGAGGAGTCGAGATGTAGTGGTGGACCTTCCTGTCAGCAAAGTCGTACCTTAACCAGTGAGCCCTCTTGAGCTCTGCTGAATACCCACCCATGGTTTAATGTTCAAACTACTTACAGGGTTCGAATCTCCCCAGAGTTTATTGAAATGCGCACTGCTGGTGATTCCCAGTAAGGATTAAACAGCCGCACAGTGTTTCCAGGCTTCAGTTACAGGTTGAAATATCAAAAATTGATGAATAGTTAAAATGTTTTTCTTTCCGAATGATTATCGGACCTCGTCGAGGCCCTGATGGTTACCAAACCATTGGACGCACGGATCGACGATTATTCGGACAAAACACGAACTACTCATTAGTAAACAGATGTTTGTTTGATTGCATCAGCCATCAGCCGTACGGGTTAGTTAGCGGGTGCGTGTGAAACAGGCTGAAAGTGTCAGTTGTTCTGTACCTATCCGCTTATCTGATGGGCCCCAGTAAACACGAGGGCTCTCTTATGGCTGAAATTTTCTGAACCCGATCACATCTCCATTAAAACAACAAAGCTTTGGCGTACACTCATTATGTTGCTACTTTTACCAAAACCGGACATTTTAAATTCATCCTTTCTGACTAGGATGCACTACTGAAGCTCCATTTTGACGCTAAACTCAGACGGCTCTATGACCAAGGCATTCGTTGCTTTCATTTTCCATCCGTGGACCAACTGCCCCCTGAAGTTGTCATACTGTTTCATGGCGTTGCCGATTCGCAGAACACAGTGTACAAAGACGCATTGCTTCTTTTCAGCTTACAGACAACATTTGACTTCGAGTAAGTTTTTAGCTTTTTAAAGTCGAAGAATGGATTTTTTGCAACTGTTTGTGTTGTTCATCAAACGAATCGTTGAGTGTCATTTTTAATAATCGTTAACTAGATCATTGATCCGAGTTTCCATTGGTTATGGATTCCGTGATCTCTCCTTTAGCACATCGGTTACAGCTAACTAACTTGTGTTTTGATCGGTTTCTTGTCAAGTGTATCGTTAGTCTTTGTTTCGGAGGAATCGTGTTTCTTGAAATACCATCTGTTTGAATTGAATCCAACTTAAATTTTGTTTGTTTCCCACTGTCAACCAACGCATTACGTCTGTAAAGATCTATTTCGCGTAATAATGTACATTATGCCCAGCTACTTCTGCTATTCATGTTTGAATTCGACTTGAACTAGTCCTGGCGGTTAATCATGCAAGAAGTTCGTTAGTGCTCTCCGTGAATGGCAAACCCTGAGACTCGCTACTTTGGGCATGTGTACACTCTACCCTTTATCATAAGCATTCTACCTGCCGAGACCTTTTGATACTCAAGAATAATGATAGTGTACTCCTGGGCCTTAAACCAACGGCGACTTTGCCACATGGGTGCACGTGGCGTGTCTTTGTACACTTCCCATTGGTGCTGCTAATGATTGTGTGGCTATTGAACGACGTGTCATGTGCGCAGACTGTCAACCAATCTCTATGACAGTGTTATCTGTCCTACGCTGTTTTTAGGTTGGTGAGTTTTTTCTTACTTAACTTATAGTGGCGTTCCGTTCCGTTGCCTTGCGTTCATTGTATGCCGTTTTATTGCAACGGGGCATTTAATTTACGGACGAATTAAACTGTCGGACAAGACTACATTACTGTTCAGTTATCATGCTCCCGTTATCCATTTTTGGATAGATATCTCCCTCAGCGGACCGTTTTCCAAATACACCTGCTTCTGCTCAGTCCGTTGAGGTTTTTATTGTCACTCTTTATGAGGACCTATGTGTTAGGTGTGAATTTTCCGGTCGAAATAGCTATAGGGCTGTTCATTCAACATGACCGTTGTGAACAGCCAGATCGTTTTACGTTTATCTGAGTCTGTCCTCGTTGAAGGCTTGTAAGTTGACAACCATGTCCTTGGAGTGTGTTTACAGAACACCGACCTCCTTGGTTGCTCTTCCATCACACCGCTTTACTGCTTCACTACTTTTTGTAAGTCCAGTAGTCTCGCTTTATACTGCACATGTTTGAGTAACAATGGCAACTGTTAACACACGTGGATTATTTTTCCTCTTTCCCATAGCACATCATCGGACTACACAGAGCAAGACGTCTCAAGTCACCGAAAATTCGAGCGTCAAGTTCAACGTCATTTGCGTGAATTGTGGAAACCGAGCCTTGGTCTGGAAGAGACCGATGCTTTATTATCCCGACTGACACCGAACGTTGCTGTGTTCCACACCACTCCATAGCGGTAGGAACATTTTTCATTCCCTTCTTCCCCCGGTCCGATGACCAAAAGTCCTTTGTTTTCCCTCAGAAATGGATGCCCAGAGAGCCACTGTTCTTATACGCCGACAGATTATTTAATTAAATAAATTTTATACATGTTTTCCTCTTTTTCACAAATCTATGATTTCGATTTTTCTGCGTTCATTTTGTTGGAGCCGCATGTGATTAATGGTTGATCTTTCGTTGAACTCGGCAATCTTATTACGAATTCTCTGTCAATGTGTGTTTGGTAGAACTGGCAAATGGGCCAATCAAATCAAACAAAGGAAGCAACTCGAAGTAGGTTTCTAACCAATCAAATGGTGAAAAATAAAAATAAAAATACAAAAGCTGATCCGCTGGAACGGAGGAACAGGGCCACTGCAGTGGAGATGTTCAAAAAAATAATCGAATGCAGGTAAATCAGCCCACAATTCAACACAAGTTGCAACCGCACTAACCAAATTACGATAATGTTGCTCCCACCTAATGTTAAGTGTATTTCCTAGGGACCTTTGGTCACACTGATGGTGTGTTTTCGGCTCGTCGTGAGACATTTGCAACGAAATTGCCGACCTAGGTGAGCAGATCACTCACCTGTACTGTGTCCGACACATCTATGGGTGTGCTAACAGTTTACGTTAAGATAACTACAACGGGGAAGCGTTTGTTAGCTTTCGTCAGCTTACTTGGGATTCCGCTTACGGATTCCTTTCAAGATTCTTCTTACCACACGGCTTGCAAGATGCTCGAACAAAGGCGGCTGTTTTTGGTAGCTTGCTATGATGTCACCAGGGTCGAGTTTTTGCAGAGCGTCCTTAAAAGAAGAAAATACACCTTTCAACTATCTACCACGAAGTTAATGAGAGCGAGTCGTGTTCTAGTTGGCCGAATAGCCGGTTGTTACTAATTCAGGTTAAGTGTCCGTACAAATTAGTTAGAGATGCACAAGAATCAAACCGGCCCGGCTGCGGTGTCCTTGATTATTGAATTTATCGCCTCGGAAGACCGGCGTATCTGCACCATATTTATCGCGAATGGGATTGAGTAGATTGTTGTCTTTGACGTTTAGTCAGGCTGATGGGAAAACACACCTAGTACACAACTTCATGACCCAACATATTGCCTCTGTCAACGAAATCGGAATAGCAAAAAACGGGGATCAAATGGCGTCTACCAGTGTGGGATTAGCGTTCAAGTTCTTTGAAGTTCTTTGAGGTAAATGGAAGTTGAGGTCAGCCGCTGGCTGATGTTCATGAGCCCTGACAATAGGGGTGATGGACTATCCATCGTGCCTAATAATACAAACGACTTGCTTGTCAACTGTCAAGGCTTCCGCAGAAAGCATTTCTACGTGCATTGCTCTCTCTAAAGAGCCTATGAGTGCTTCCGTTATACAGAACTCACAGGTCAAACAGTTCCAGACGAGAATTGGCCATCGTCCGTCCTAATTTTTGTTCTCTTTCTGTGTCTTTCATAGGTTTCACTGAGCCTTTCTGATAGGGAGTCGAATGGGCTTAGAAAACGTTACAGATCTCTCATCGTGTACAGAGACTAAGTTTTTTTAACGTTCGACATTACGTGCTATTGAGGGTTTTTTGGTCTGATTAAACTGACTTCACTCGTTTGTAGATATAACAGTGTAATACGCCGGACGATGTGGAGAATATGCGGTGTTTCCATTCGTGTCTTCTCATGTGTATCTTACTGAATTCATTTGAATTGCCGTGTTACAGAACCATTGCCACCTGTGTGAGAAGCTGTTTCCGCCACAACCCTCGAAAATCTTAGATTATTTCATCCTGAGTAGGTTCCATTTGAATCTTCTGGTTGCCGACCACTGGACTACAATGTCCAGTAATCATCTTCGATCAAACTGTCGTTTTGACGTACGAACTCACACAGCAATATAGATATCTCCACTTTATTTGATAATTATGTCATCAATTAATTCCGGAACCGCCAACTCCCGTACATCCTCCGGCCTTATTCTCTTAAGGAGAACATTCAACTGATTGCACAGACGGCTCAGTGCAAACAACATGCGGCGTTGACGATTGTGCACGGATGTCCTTAGTCGTTGGTAGGCCAATACGGAAACAAATGTGAGCCCGTCGTGCATGCTGCCACGGGGATCTGGTCCGTGAATCAACCGAGTCAGCAGCAAGTCGACTCAATCACCTACACACTGCGTGGGTAACAGTGACGCATGTTGAACGGAAAAGGTGCATAGGCACAAAATTAAAAAGAGCGCCTTTTAAATGTCTAATTCGCAGGACACTGAAGTGTGCTCGTGCGCCAGTGTTGTAAACGACTATATATATATATATATA